ACCCTCCAAACTGAGCATACCAAGGCTTGACTCTCCTTTTACAGAGGGGAGGGGGCTAGCCTACTGATTAATTTTACCAAAATTGTGAGTCATGAGGCTAGAAAGAATCATCTTCCTCATGGGTGGAAAAACCCAAAGATAACTTAGAGGGCCTGAGCTGAGCATGCCCAGTTTTTTCCTTCAAAATCACAGACAGATCATTCAGTTTTCCTACCATACAGACAAGTGAGGGGAAGAAATGAGGCTTCAGAGGGTCCCCACCCCTGCCCATGAAGGGCATCTCTCCAGGGAATAAGTGTGTTTCCTTCCCCCCAAATTCCTTTCAATGCCCAAGGGAACAGCAAACTAAACCCCCATATTTTTCATCAACTCAATCTGTTCTGAACTCTGGTGTGTTCCAGGCATTGAACGGTGTTTGTTCCCATTGCAGGTCTTTTTTTAATTTCTAGTAGAATGATATACATTTAATAATTTTCTCTCCCTATGCTATTACCTAATGCTTTAAGATTAAACAGAATTTCCAAATGTTTAAAATGCCATTTGAAAGTACCTTGTTCCCTCTCAACCAACAGGATGCATTAGCCTTCTTAGTGCCATTGAACAAGGTCTTTGATTTTGTGTTTGACTCCTGGTTCCCATCAATAGCTTCTTAGTGTCTCCTGCTAGATGGCCTCTAGGATCTTCTCTGAGGAGAGCTGTGCACTTAGCTCTGGGGCATCTTAAACAAGCACTGTTAAAACAAACCCTGCACACCTTCACCTTCCTCTGTTCTACATTTCCACCTAAGCTTTGTTCGACCTGCTTACACCTTCCTAAGCATCATCATTTTAAACTAACCAGGCAGACTCTTTGACTCTCAGACTCCAGTTCAATGTCCTATAATGATGTGAGTGTTGTCATTGGTCTTGCCAGGCACCCCATCAGGACTGCCCCAGTTGTACATGACCTTCATGTCTAGTGATTTTCACAGCCATTCCTCCAAAAACCCCCAATCCTGTCTTCCTGTGGGAAAATCCTTCCAAGGTGCTCTGGGATTCTGCATCTTTCTCCCTAGTGGACTTTTTTGGGTTACTTATCCTGGGAGCCTTAGTAATGGCTACTAAATCTCTCTTTTCTGCTAGTTCCTTTGAGATCAGTTCACCCTGAATGCATTTCCTCTTCCCTTTAGGGTCTGCTTGTCCTGGACTTGGGTTTCCCTTTTCCTGTGACATGGGAACACGGAGATTTCCAAGATAGTAGCACTGAGAAATTCTCTTCCTTAATTATTCAAAATTTTCATTTGGGTTGGCAGAGATTTTGTAAATATTTTATACATTTGTTACAAATGTCTCATAATTGAGTCCCCTTTCCTCCATTTATCAGCTGAGTGATAGTGGGAAGATTATACATACTCTGCTAAGGTTCCCTCCTGTGCATTATGGCACTGACTGAATGGTTTAAGCACTTAATGGAAAGCCCAGGATGTAACAAACTACCTAAGGCTTTCTATTACACATATTCTTCCTTTATTCCTATTCTGAAGGAAAGAAGCAAGCTTAACTTTAAACTTCTGTTGAGTCTCATCTCTTAGCAGATTTAAATTCCCTGTGACTCTGAATTCATGTTCCAAGCACAGCATCTATAAGCATCCTCAAGATTTGTGATAATTGTGCTGATTTTCTTTGGATTCTGGAAATTGAAATTCTTCAATGACAATTCCTCTGGGAAAGATTTTCAATGAGTATCTTCTCCCCATCTGAAAGACTCAATGGCACACATGACCATACATGTTCTTAATCTTCTAGCATTGAACAGAGAGGTGATAATTACCTATGATCTCAAAAAATGTCCAGATAAGAGTAGCAGCCAGTGTGTAGCTCTGCGTATTATTATGAACCCAGAAACCAGCATCTTCCTCTCACTAAAAACATATTCTGCATTCAATTGAGCATGTGGAGATGTTAATCGGCCGGCTATGGATCACAAATTCATCTATTGGATAGTATTAATGCAGGATTAGAGTACTATCTTTTCTACAGGTGAAACAATTAGACAATTATATTTATATTTTTAGAAGCAAAATTATTGTATTCTGTACCCATGTATGCAAGAATGAGCAGAATTGGAGAAAGCAAAATCTAGTGACCACATGTGAGTCACTTATAGACACCTAAAATAGTTCTTAAGTCCTGATTCCCAAGCAGGAACTGTAGATAACGCTGTAATGTGCATTTAAATTTGTAGCTAAACAGGGCCCAGTAAAATGCCTGGTCTTCAAATTATGTAAAAAGATGCTAATCGATGAGGATGATGCTGATCATGATAGGTGCTTCACAAAATGAGTATCTGTTACTCATGAAGAAGAAGTAAGCTCATGTGCCATTTCATAGAGAAGACAGCCCAAAGTCTTGAGGGATTGGAAGGACTGGAAAGCATGGAGAAGGTGGGAGAAAGAGCAAATGCACTGTTAAGGTCTGTAGACAAGACAAAATAACACCTGGTATTTTGCCAGGGGAATGTTAGAGTTCGTAAACAAGTCTGGATGGTCCCTGGCAAAATGCCAGAGGGAGTGGTTTGAGAAGTAACAAAAGTGAGCCATTAAGTGTGGAGATTACTTATTGGTTGACTGATGTATCTAGTTTATGCTAATTAAGATAAGCTGTGCAAAATGTATAAATAGCTCTGTTATCCTACAATAAATGGCTCCTACTCCTGCTGTATCAACGTACACAAGTTATTCCTCCCCCCCCCCCAGGTTATTCTGCTGCAGCCGGACTGCGGCAATGCACAGAGATAATTGCATAAGAATATTTTGTAAGGAGATGAATATCTGGATCCCTAAGTGTTATTAAGCATCACATGGTCCAAGCTTAAACAATTCAGTTCCCCAAATTGAGACTTTTGTGCTGTGATCAATGGAGAGCTGCTGGATGTACAAAAATTGGAAAGTGTATCTTAAGAAAGTTGCTGCTTTGTGTCAATAGAGTAAATTAAGGCTTTTTGCAACAATAGAAAAGTCAAAGCAGGAGAACAGGGAGGCTTGGTGGGAAAGAGGTCAAAGCACCTGCTGTACCTGAAGAGAAGGGTGGTGATTGATGGCATCACCTTGGAGCTACCCTGATGGAACACAGATTTTACCATGTGTTACAGAACAGCAGCTCCAAGCACTTGATTTGCTTTTGTTTCTTTAAGTGTATTTATTCCTTGATTTATACAAAACCTATGAATTTATTAGCTTCCTTGTCAAATACCTAATTATTATTCGTGTAAAAAATGTCAACGTCCCCACCTAAGGAATCTTAAGACTAAGAGAGAGAAAGAGTCATTCCTTCATTCATTCAGCTGATATTTATCTTGAAATTGAAGCAAGTCTGACAAGAATTGCAGGGGAAAAGTCCTCATAAGTGAAGAGGTCAGGAAACAGAGGAGTCAGCTGTTTCTTGTGTGGTCAATTGCGTTATCTGCTTACAAAGAAGGAACAGAAGTCCACATGTGCTGTGGACACCCAGACAGCCTTCTGAGTCCCCTGCACCTGAGAGAACCTGACAACTTTAGATAACCCACAGTGACAGGCAGGCTGGAGGCCTCTGACGTGCCTGCTTCCCTTGAAGGCACTGTCCTCTTGCAGGGTGTCTTGACCCAGAGTGTAAGACCATGCTCCTCACTGCTTTCTAACCACCAGCATTGTTTGTTCCTTCTATTTCCAGGTGCCTACATGTGGCAGGCCAAATTATGTTCCTCTGCAGATGTGCATGACTAGTCCCTGGAGCCTGTGAATATGTGACACTGCATAGCCAGGGAGACATGAAGTTCCCAGTGGGGTTAGGGTGGCTCATCAGGGACACAGATAACAAGGAGATTACCCTGGAATGTCCCTCCTAGGCTGCTATGATCAGAAGGGTCTTAAGATGTGGAAGGAAAAGGAGGAAGAGCCAGAGTAACACAGCCCAAGGGAAGGCTCAAGTGGTCACTGTTGGCTTTGAAGTTGGAAGGGGCCATGAGCCAAGGTGCTGGTGGCCTCCAGTGACTGAAAAGACAAGAGAACAGATCCTTCTCTTGACTTCCAGAAAGTGTGATTTAAATTAATAATGGTTTAATACAACTGTCACGGTAAAAAAATCATTCATTATGGCTTATCTACTTTTGTGTCTTGAATAAAGTAAAATCTCCTTCAAGTAAAGGATAAAACTATTTCCTTGATCTTTTCTAATAAATTTTGAATTTTGCATGTCACAATTAAGGATTAGTGTACCTGAAATACACTTTCATGTAGGAATAAAGTAGACCCAGGAATGAGAAGAGGGACATATGTTTAGGGTCAAAGGAACACCCTGAGAGGACAAGTCCTCATGGGGAAATAGCACACAGAGGAGAGTGTGACAGGAGCTGACAGCCAGGGGCCAGGTGCAGGGAGGATGGAGAGACAGGAAGGCACTTGACACAGACCCCTAGGGCTTCCCCAGGATGGAGGCAGCCAGGAGCAGAGGTCATGGGGGAGGAGACTTAGGGCTGAAGTTGAAGAGCCTCTAGGAGGATGAGGAAGACACTAGAGCCCTGGGGGGAGAAGGTGGTGGCCCTGAGACTGGCAAGGCCTTCCACAGGAACCTCCACTAAGATGCAATTTCCTTGTGCAGGTATAAGGAGAGGGCTGCTGAAGAGAGCAGCAGCAAGCTAAGGGGGTGGGGAGGTCAGAGGTCAGGCTGAGACTGTCAGGGGAGGACCTCAGCACTGAGGGCTGTTGCCCAGGCTCTGAGGTCCCCAGGCTGGCAAGGGCTCTGCTTCCTGGGGTGTCCAGGGCTCCTGAGCACAGGCAGCCACAGTCTTCCTATTTATGTGCAGCCAGGAGGTGGCCCTGGAGCACTGTGTATTCACTGGTGGCACAGAAGTACACAGATGTCTGGGAGCTGGTGGCCGACTCCAGAGTGAGGGGGAAGTCTTTTTTGTTTGATCTGGAGACACTGTACCCGTCAGACACGTCTCCTTTGGCTGTGTTGCCAACACCATATGAGTAATGGATCAGCTGCAGCCCTTGCCCTGGGTCTTGTCGATACCAGTACATATTGTCATGGTTGTAGGTCTGGTGGCATCTCAAAGTCACCTTTTCTCCTGTCTCTGTGATGACATGTCTTGGGCTCTGGGTGATTCCAGCCTCCATGTGTCCTGTGGTAGAGGAGGAGAAGTTTATATCACCTCAAGGGAAAGACTTGGATTGAAGTCTTGGAATTCCAGAGAAGCAAGCACCCATGGCCAGCCCTCACCTGCCCACAGGAGACAGCAGGCCACACAGAGGAAGAGCTTGATTCATATTGTAGGAATGAGGGAGAGTCCCATGTCTTCTGAGTCTGTTTTGGGGAAATAGAACTTTTGCCATTAGCAGCCGAGTGATGACTTGTCCCCTACAAATACATGAGCTGTACAAATAACTTACCACAACCCTTCCCTAAGGGAAAGTCAACTTTCAATTACTATATATGTATATATAATATTGTGAAATATGGTGATATTTTATGCTACATATGCACAATTCAACATCTCTGAATGGAAAGAATTTGTAGTCTGCTTTAAACTATAAGAGGGAATCATCCTTCCTAAATTTTAGGAAGAATATTTGGTCCTCTGGGCAGCTTTTATTCTTATAAGTATATAGTTTCTTATTTGTGTGTAACTTTAACTCTTCCCAATATTTCTTCAATATAAGGAACATCTGCATGGCAGTCTTGGTGCCTCGTATAACTTCCTGCTCAAGCATCATCTCCAAGTTCCTTACACTAGTTCTTCTATTTGCCCAAACTCTGGGAATTAGGTGTCAGTATGCCATGCTATTCTTGACTACAAGAATCATTGACCACCAGAAAGTTTTAAGAGCATCAAGATCAAGGTCACTTCCACTTGAAAAACTTTTTTAATTAGTCTCACAAAAAGTCAGGAACAGGAGTCCTTCTATATACTCTGAAGGCTTAGTGCATCACTGTGGATATGAATTCTTTGTTTTAGGTGAGACCTTGGAATTCTGGCCACTTAGGTCACCATGACAATATTTCTATTCCAGACAAGAGATGGATCATTAGTGATGTGGATGAGATATCTGCATGTGACTTGTGCCTCCACTGTCAAAGGGAAATGTTCTATCCTCATTTATATGATCTTGTATCCACCAAGTAGGAGAAGATTCATTCAGTCATGAACCTGTTATCATGCAATAGCAGTGAGTGCTGTTCTTTCCCACAGAGGCCATATCTCACTGTGAGGCCTCTTTCCGTGTCTCCACACATTGATGAACTCTTAATGGACACTCCCTACAATCAGATCTAGTAAAAAGGGTGCAGAAACACAGAGACACCAGGAGGACATCAGTGCAGCACTCATAGAGGTGGCTATGGCAGGGGTGTGGGCACCTGGGTCAGGCTCTCATATCTGTGGCCCGAGATTGGCTGGTCCCAAGAGTCACCAACAGAGGACACTTTGAATTACCTACCTCTAAGGATCATCTCCAAAATAAAGTCTGAATTACCAACAATTCTCAAACTTCATTGGGAGATGAGCATCCCCTGGGAATATCTCCTTTTAATTGACTTAGTAATTAATTATAGGGTCACAAGTTTTCTGGTGTTGGAAATGTACACTTGAGCTTGAAGCTATGACAGGACAACAACCCTCCATTAGTTTCAAGTGTCCTCAGTGTTGAAAGGCAATAAGCTACGTAACTCTATCCCATAATGTGCCTTCCCCCTGCTGCCCAGATGGTCTTGCATGCAAGAGGCTCTGCTCTGATACACATTGTTGTCCAATATCAGGCAGCAATAATGGATTTCAGCGGAACTTTTGATTTAGGAGATGTAGGTTTCCATTCTCTCTTTGATACTAGTAAATATGAAATATAGGGAGAGTCCATGAGCTACATGCAACTTCCCCTTAATAAAGTGATATACTGTCATCCTCTATAAAGTGGATACGAGTGTTATCATAAATACCCACACTCTAGCACCAAGTGGTGCCTGCCACTTGCTGGGAATTGAAAAGTGTCGACTTAGATAAAAGAACACCCAGAACACTGAGGTCAAAATGACAAGGAGCAAGGTGGCTGAGCCTAGCAGGGCAGACTGAGGATTAACAAAGAGCTAGAAGCATCCATGGGCCTTGACTGAGTCTATGTGGTAACCTCCACATCCTCTCCCTAGAACACCCTCAGCTGGGACAGGAAGTTTAGGGTACAGGGAGCCAGGGGTTCTGCAGGGCTGTGCAAGCTGCTGGCACACAGATACGTGGCTGAGTCCCCCAGCTCCAAGGAGCTCATGTTCA